AATGCTGGTTCCAGTTGTGCTGCTCTCACGCTCAAAGTTAAAGCCAGTATAGATCACCAGTATTAAATAAAGCCTCTCGATATGTTTGTGTCTGTCTTGCAAGTCGCGTCAAATGTGCTGAAGTACGTGGCGGCCTAGCACTGATATGAGCTTTAGAATGAGGGACCCGTGGAAGCGAATAGTGGCGTGGCACTCGCTCAAGGCACGTGTTTTGGGCGTTTGCCCAACAATGATTGTCGGTGCTTGCAAGACGCGCAAAGCGTGAATTTAAGCAAAAGGTTTTATACAACATTTGATGCTTCAGATTAGGGGTGGAAAAAAGAAGGGGGGGGGGGGGGGGGGGCTCCAGTGCAGACGATAAGGAGAAAAATTAAGTGCCTGCAGAACAGCCTGAGACACCTTTGCCTGGGCTAGTTAGGAAAAGCTAAGAAGAATTGTATTTTTACAAACACGAAACGGTCAACCTGCTTTTAATGCTGATTGGCTACTTGAGTATACTTTTTTATTACCTCAGTGACAAGCTCACTCAGGGCCCAACACAAAGATTACTAGATTACACCAAAAGTCCTCAACGACTCGTTGCACGCGTAATATAAAAAAAAAAAGAAAAAGAGTAGACCACAATTGTTTTAGTTTTTTGCAACTTGTGAGCCAACTTACTCGCGTTTCATCCTCATTAGCAAATCTACTACACCTTGTCCTAACAACCAGTCCCAGTTTAGCATCGCCCATATTAAATCAAGATGATCCTAGTGATCACTACCTGTTGTATTTTAATTTAAGCGTACCATCGGCTTCGGCAGCGAATATCGTATCTACTCGAGTAATAACCGCACTGTTTATGAAGAAAACCTGAAGGTTCACTTTTCCGCGGAGCACGCAGATTGCCAATCACCGCGATCGACAACATGACTCCAGCAGTTTACAGGACAGAGGTAACGTCTTCGTGCGGAGATTCCATCTGTGAAGATTGCATTTGTATGGACAATCGTTCTCTCGATCGGGTTATTCGCTATGTTATTTATGCGCAACGCAATGATTGGCTCTATATGTGTTCTGTGGGAAAGTAGACGCAAGGGCCTTGTGCATAAATAGTGCGGCTATTACTCGAGTAGATACGGTACTATTAAATACATAAGTGACTACGGGAAAGCTGATTCTTAGGCAGTTATAAAGAGTTTTGTGCGCTTTCTTTATTAATTGGCTACCCAACTTCATCGAGCGCTCTGGTAATGGTAATTTTAACATGCCTAAAATAAAATTTCGAAGTGGTCTTGAACTTGTATGGTTCCCTCAAAAAGGTAAGTTTCAACTCAAATGCCCCGTGATACAATAAAACTCTAAACAAATTACAGAAAAAACAACAACAAAAAAAAACAAAAACAGCAACGTGTATTTGGTGTTGCGCAAAAGGATTTGACAGATTGATGGTGTATTGCTTATTACGCTGCTGCCGATTCCTATAAAACGACTAGTATTGAAAGCAAGCTCACTTTTTTTTTTTCAACTGAAATTTACTGAACATGATAAAACATAACCCACAGCAGTTTTGGAGTGTCATTAAAGGAAATAATACAACTCTTCTCTGGCTGAATGCCGATTACGGCACACCATTTCTGGTGTGGATCGTGTTGATGTGTTCAATAACGTATTTGTTAGTTCGCTTCTGGAGAAGTTGCAATGTGCTTGATTGACGACTGTGACCTTTTTGTGAAAGCGTTAGTTAAACTGTTCATATAAATTTTTCTGTTTCTGTTTTTGTTTTCCCCGATGTACTTCCTTGCTAATCAGTGTTTCCCCACTGCCCCTTTGTAGTTAGTTATACATGCCTTGATGGTAAATAAATAATATTAAATGAAACTATAAGTCTCTACTGGCATTCCATACTGCACATAAATGCGGCCATTATTCACTGCTGCGTACCTTGTGGCCCGCCGCAGCGGCAACAACCGCTACCTCACTAGCTTCAGCTCTGACCCCTCACACGTCACTGCAATAAAAGTTGAGACTAGGGAAACATAAGAGCCATTCACTCGAAGGTTTAATCACTGATTTTGTTGCTATGATCTTCTCAGCATGGTTGTTTTTAGTGGTTTGCGTATTGCGCGCTGCATATATTGAACTTGAACAAATGCCACTGAGAAAAAAGAGTCCCACTACGACATATATTTCTTTTGGTTTTTATCCCGGCGAGGAAGAAACATTGAGAGAGGTGGGCTTGAAGTATAGCACCAGAAATGGAGACAACAAAACGTCCCATGGCTCGTACGACGAGCATAGAAAAGGCTGCAGAATTCGTCCAGGAGCCGGTCATTCATGACATTGCGTGTGTTCGCCTGACGCCGTCATTGACCGGCGCCTGGTCGGATTCGGTCATTCTGAAGCTTATATATGACCAGCCGGACGTTGTATCGTGCGCGTGTCTGGAGCCTAAGCCACGACACACGACGTTTAAACTTCGTCGTTTGCTTATTTCTATACACCCTGACATTAAAGTCATTGGATCCCGGGAAAGCAACGCCAAGCTCCCCGTATGGCCGCCATTTTGGTTCTTGAAATGAGCAGTTTGTTCTTGACCCCTCATTATTGGTGTGTTGATCGAAATTCGTGGTGATAGGTTAGTTTTTGTAAGTTTTGAAGCGAGTACCTGAATATAGACTGACCTCCCTTTATCAATGTTTCGCATCGATTTGTGTTTTAAGAAAAGCAGAACCTGGATTTCTTTTTGCTGATGAGAACCTAATATAATTGATGTGTTATTATTAGGACTGGGCGTCGATTAAAAATGTTAAGCCAATTAATCGACGTCGCTTAATTCATTAATTAATTGATTAGTCGGCTTTGGTCATTCCTAGTCATAATCGTTTTTTTTTTTTAAAAGTCAACAGTATTTTTTTTGTTGCTGCCATTGCTGAATTCCTTGTAAACGGGGCAATGAAAACTTTAGGATTTTAGGTCATCTTTATTGTGTAGTTGAGAACAGCCAACGTACACCCACACTCGCAAATTATTACTTCAGCCGCAGTGACAAAGGGTTTCGTTGATATTCCCCGGCAACAGCGAACTCCTTTGATTGTTCACAATAGACTGTGCCGCGCTAAACGAACACCCGCGCCCGTGACACGTATAACCTTCTCCACTTGTTTAGAGTTAGAAATCTGGACCCCTAGAGTTTACTTTAGGTCAAAATGTCACCTAACGTTTTCCTTCGTACAGGTTTACTCGTTCACGTCTGCGTAATGAAAGCGAAAACTTTTTTGTTTTGTTTTGTCAAAATTTAACCGATTAACCGGTTAAAAATAATCGCCATTGATTCATCGATTAATTACTTAGTGCGTTAATTCATAAATGTCCAGCCTAGTTCTTATGTATATTTTCTTTACACGTTGGTGAACGGGATAGACAGGCAAGTTTGATAGCCCTATCTCAAGTATGTATACAACGAAGACTAACATGAACGAAAAGCAGCTTACCATCCCAAAGCTCCAGCAGGGTCGATGAAGAGCACGTGTTCTCGTCTCAAACTTCACGTATCTCAACTTACGAAGGTGCGTGCGCCGCTCGCAAGGATTGATGAGACGCCGGGCGCCTACCTTCAAAGTTTTTTCGAAGATTTCCCAGGAGCTCCCTAGAGGTAGCTCCGACACCTCGCGAACCGTTGACCCTGTCGCGCGCGCGACGCACTGGGTTGTGTGTATCTGGCTGCCGATATTTCTTCCGATGACACTGACAGTATGAGAACAGCAGAGAGTCCCTGCCGTTCTCGCGCTCGTTGCCTTACGCCGTGCTTCGGCTGCGCGTGCACGCTCGAGGCTCGTGAGGCGCCGAGGTGCTATCGACGGTAGGAACAAATACATGACTAGGGGGAATACATTGTACTCTGCTCATTTGCATTAGACAAAACGCCTACAGCGCCGAATCCAACCCTGACGGAGTGGAGGTCCGCGTTAGTCCAAGCGCAAGTGCACATGGATGTTCGCGGCGGCCGCGGCGGTGTCGTCTCCGATTCCACCTAAAGCCCCTTCATGTTTCAAAAGCAGCTCAAGGTGCGTCGATGCACGAGGCACGTGGAACGTGCGACCCATGGGAAGATTATGGCGGCACTGCGCAGCAAAGTATTTAGCGCACCAACTGAGCTACCATGTTATTCTTAGAAGTGGCGTGCGGCACGTGACTCGCGCATTTCCACAACAATGAATTTGGTATGTAGAACATCAATATCATCGATAGCCGAGACCTCCCCGACGATAGATGGCTCTCGCCAAGCCCAGAAAACCTGTCCGCGCCGAAGCTTTTGAGAGGAGTGGAATGTATTCCCCCTTGTAAAGTATTTGGTAGGAAGCTGGAGCTGGAAGAGGGAAAACTATCAGAGGACCTCTCTGCCGTTCTAATTCTTTCGGTGACTATACGAATAAAGACAGAGAGAGAGGAGGAGATGAGAACGCGCGGGGTCGCCACAACACCGAGCTCTGCTTGGAATGATTCGTGGGTAGACTGAAAGCTAGCTGCCTTTTCAACCCAACCAAAGATCAGTGTTCTGACCCCCCCCCCCCCCCCCCCCCTTTTCGCACCCAGTTTCTATCTGTATTAGCGACGAGATGTTTTGGTGGCGCCTCCTATGGTTTCCTCTCGTGACGTCATTACCTTGATAAATCAAGTTAGATGGTGTTTTTAATGAGCATGGCGGAGGTTTGAAATCATTCCGCTCTGAGAGCAACATTGCCAGTACTATCAAAATTGAAGTTCTTACATTACTCTTATTCCTGTTCCTCATGAAACGTTTGCTGACGTCACAGTCAGTAATCGGCCAATCGTGGAAGGCCGACCACAGCCACGCTTTGGATCGAGCACGTCGCCAATAGCGGTAGGAAGGTAGGGAAAGAATACAACAGGAGGCGCTGCGGTACGACGAAAACGTGGCAAATTTCAATGCCAGCGACTTTTCCAAGTTTTTTTTTCTTTTTAAGTTGAGATTGCAGCGGCCGGTCGGCCGATCTGACCTGTCTGGCGGGTAGCGGAGGTTGGTGGGCTGGTAGAGCACGGCGGTCGGACTGGACTGTGCCGTCCACGAACTGCCGTCGGCCGGGTAAAAGCGCCGGTACGCTGCCCAGAAGTCCACCGGGGGCGTGGGCCAAGCTTGGCAGTACGCCGAGGACAGCGTCACCAGAAGCACCAGCGCAGCGAGCTGAACGTACAGGCAACAATGTTTTGTGACAGCCAGGCGGTCCTGGTACCGGTTTAGCGTGCGGGCCGGCTAATAGGGAGTTTTCGTAGACCGCGCTGCCCCCTCCGCTAAGCGTTCCGCAACGAAGAAGTTGCTACTGCGCCTGCGCGCCGATAGCCTTGACTGTGGAGTTCCCGCTATCGTAGCGGGTTGCGGAGGGCCTTGCGGGACGGCGAAAACGATCTACGAAAGCTCCCTAATACTGTGGTATATGCTGCGCCAAATGGCACTTTTTTTTCCTCGGGGAAAAACAATAGCACACACTCAGTTTTACCACCCACAAGCCCGCAAGCACTGTGAAAATGTCAATGGTTACGCTGTTTTACCTTTTCGTGATATATAGTAACACGTTTTGTTTTGTAAAGGCGAAACAAGGTCAGTGTGAGCACTCGGGAAAGAAACTTGGGGTCAGATCGATCGTCTCATTCGCTCGTGCTCTCCTTGGAAGCAGGCGCGCTGCAGGCACACATCTTTTTTTATTCCTGGCCTACTCTTTTTTTTTTTTTTTGTAAGTAATACTATTATTGCATAAGGGCCGCGGCGATGTGCCAAATACCGTATAAGACCGGCGGCTTTCATAGGAGTGATATTGCTTCGCCGACGGTCAACGCGTCACGCACTCAATGTTTACTTTTTTTCCCTCTAGCGTTACGGCATTACTCTTCGAGGTAAGTCAAGAAAACCTTGCCACCAGAAAAAAGAAATACAAGTAAGAAAGAAAGCGAGGTAGATATAGGAAGCGTGAATCGCTGAGCCGTGCTCATGGTATTCCTCACGTGTCGCCGATTAATGTCGAATTTCGCGGGGAGCCTGAAGATAAATGGTTATATCCGACATTCCCAGTAACGAAAAGGAGGAAAAAAGAAAAGCTCGCTTCCCACGGCTGCGAGAAATTGTTGAGTGCGATCTATGTGTGGTCGTTTCCTGCCTTTTCGTCAAAGCGTCGGGCGTTTTTGCTTGATTCGTGTGTCTGAGGGAGCTCGCAGAGCACTCCCCTCCGGCCTGCTTTCTCTGTCGTCAGCGCGGAGTGGCTTTTTTTTCTTCTTCCGAAACCCACGCCACGCTGATGGATCCAGTAACTCGTTCGGCCGGTCACTGGACCCCAAGGTCGTGACTGTCCGAACGAGCGACGCGCTGCCTGGAACCTCGACGAAGCGATCGCGTGTTTCCGTTTCCTCCTTGTTTGTAACCTTTCCTAATGGTGGGCTTCAGAGTGCTTAACTGTTTTCAACGTCCAGTGAGGTACAGCCCCGGACAACATGAGCTGGAACACATGATGTGGATAATTTCTGAGCACAGAGTTCCCACTAGCTCCATTATTTCTCAAACTGTCAAAGAGTTCACAGAGTGGGATGTAAGCTTCGTGTTACAAGTCAAGTTTGAACCAAAGTTTCTTTTAAAAAGTGGCTGGTTTAGCTCATATTGCCCGTTTTAGTAGACACTAGCGGCCAGACTGTTACCTCCTCGTGATAAAATTAAATCGAATCGAAGCAAATGCTACTTTACTTCCCATGGGTTGAGTTCGTGATTCTTCACCAGACTTCGTCAACATCACCTGGAATACACATGATATTCATTTCATTCATCAAACTAAACTTCCAAATCGTCCTCATGTTTCTATGATATCTATTTCATTCGTTAAACTAAACTTCCAAATCGTCCTCATGTTTCTATGATATCTATTTCATTCGTTAAACTAAACTTCCAAATCGTCGTCATGTTTCTATGATATCTATTTCATTCGTTAAACTAAACTTCCAAATCGTCCTCATTATCCCTTTAACTTTCAAGTCATTTCAGCGTACCCTGCCGCTCTTGATTGTGATTATGTCGAGCAGGGGCCATTGTTCGAGCTGTGTACATTGGGAAGTTGAAACAAGACGCCGTACACTGTTAAAATTACGCACTCTCGTTGGGTGAACTTTTTCGCGTAGCCGCACACGAGAAAACTTAAAAAAAAAACAAAAAAACAACAAGACAAAAAAAAAATAGAAACAAGAAAACACACTAATCGCTGTCGTAAAATCCGAAGGGAAAAAAGTGGCCCCCTTTTTTTTCGAACACCAGCTAATGATGTTGCATGCGCTGATGACCTTAGAGGAGGTTCCGTGTGTGCTCGCACAGTGAAGGGTGCCACAATGCCCTTCTATTTAGGGTGATGACATCCTTTCCAGTGCCCGATGCCGACAGCGCGCGCTCACAGGAAAATATAAAGAAATTGCCGAAAACAAAATGCCACCGTAGAACAGTTAATGCTAAGAGCGCGTGCAGTGGGACGCTCTATCACACGCTCCTAAACAAAAACAAAACAAAAAAAAAACGTTTTAATAAAATGTCTAGATATCATCAACCTAAGCCAAGCGTGCATGAAGGCACCCTAGTGCAGTAAAGAAAAAACGACGCGAGTGGGCATTGTACTCCATTAAGACTGCGAGTTGAGTGGGCATTGTACTCCATTAAGACTGGGAGTTGGGCTAGCTGGTGATGATTCATACTGTAAATTACGCCGAAGAAACAAGGGCAAAGATATAAGTTGCACAGAGGACAGGCCGTATACGCCCTGTCCTGTGTGCCACTGATCTTTTGTTCTTCGTTTTTTAGGCGTTATTCCCAGCAAAGTGTCGAACCGTAATTTTGAACGGTTCGGTTCCGGTTTGGGTTCACGGTTTTCGGTTCAGTTCCGGTTCAGTTCCGGGAAGCGAAAATAACGGTTCAAAACGGTTCGAACCGGTCTGAACCGCTAAAGTGAGAATATATTTTCCGCGTTGTTTTGCAAAACACCTTTTACGCCGTAAAACAATTACTATATAGTTTTTTTTTCTATTTTCGTACTATCCACTTTTATTTCCAGGTATCAAAATTATGAAATTCCTTTATTTAATTTCGACAAAACAGTAAAAGAAAATCTACATTAACATACAAAAACGTCGCGTTCATACGACTCAACATCCTTTTGTTTACCACAACAACATATATTTGACCTTAATCTAAATGTCGCGACGTGTGGTAGGTCTTCTAAATACCCGTGATTGGTACAAATGTGCGTCGCAGTATTAAAAGTTAAATCGTGGCTGGACCCTTGAACTAAGAAATTACTTACAGTGCATAAAATCATGAAATTGGCACCTCGTTGCCACACATATATATCATGAACTATGGTTTACGAAATACGTTTCACTTTACATATATATGATGATGATGACACAACTAAGCTAAAATCAAATTGCAATAACATTTTCAGTGTCACATAAGTTCTAGGACAAGCCCTTTCAGTCTAACTTTTATAGAAAAAGAAAGCGTCAACCACAATGTTTGTTTTCCTAACCAACATTGTTTATACTCAGCACCGTGATGCAGGCGACGAATCATGCAGAAAAGAGTGATCGAGATGGTTCACTCTAATCTATTCGTACTCAGGTCGGAACTGGCCTGAAATTGCGCTTACCCAAGTGAACATTTTCTTATAAAGGATAAACTGGCATAGCCTTGCTTTTGAGGTTTGTTCTTTACAAGATGCCGGTAAACTGAATTTTCAAATAAGCACCACCCTTGATAATTGAGGATTTTTTGGTAAATAAAACGAAGTAGTATTCCATGCTGTACTCGACATGGAAGCTACTTAATTGGTCACTTTCTGACGGTTTACGTGCGTAATCGTCATAGTTGCGCCGCATGCCCATGTGTACCTTGTTTTTGTTCAGCCCACAGTCACATAAAAGTTATGTTCACTACATGAAAGTAAAGTTGTGTTGTGTGTATGCTTATACAGCCGGAAGTTAGTCAGCCTCAATGGACGTCTGGTGTCTCAGCTCTAGATGAGCAGTTTAGCCAGTGCAGTACAACCGCTAGCCTGGGTGTCTTTAACGTGTACCATGCAGCAGTGATACACGACCGCCCACCGGTACGATGTGCATCCAGATGCAAACGGGCAGGGGTGGGGATTGAACCCAGGATCCCTGGGTTCTGAAGCGCGAGCTTTTGCTCCAAATGCGCTAGCCCACTCGGCCGCACCGACACCGTAGCAGACATGATCGGGAGACCAAATTGCTGGCGTCGTACGGCACGGGTCTGTCGTTGTCGCTGTCCCGCAAATCATCGGCCAGTTGAAAAACTATGAAGCTTTGTCCCCACGAGACACGAGGCATAACTATTGGAGCACTTGACGACGCAGCAGTTCATCAGTGCAGCGGAACCGCACCGCTCCGACTTCAATGCGTACCAATGTATGCGGCGTGCATGGTTTCGTTTCGCTGGGGTTCTCCCTGCCCACCTTCGGTAACGGTCGCGCGGCGGCGCGTCGGTCGCGTCGCACGGAGTGTGTAGCTACCCTTGTCTCTACTGACGGTTCGAACCAGACGCGCTGCCGTTCTCACCCTGCCCGTGACTCTAATGACTCAAGTGTCTACTCGTAGTAAAAGATTTTGGTGAGAGGCCGTCAAGGCTCGTGTATTTTTTCAGTGTGCTGCAGGTCTGCAACGGTGATAGGGCACGTTGTTTCGACCTGTGTCTCATCGCACGTGTTGTCACTAGAAGGAAACGCTAGATGAATCCACACGCTTGTACAAGTAGTTTTGACAGAGATGGAGTCCTGCGGCAACGACACTAACCTTGCCGACGTCGTACAGACACGTTAACGACGTGTATACACGATTGCAAGCGGGAACCTGGCCGCCGCCGTGTCTCCGTTCTTGTGAACGAGCACGTGCAATTGCAAACTTGCTAAAGCAAGGCCTCCTGTATAGTGACAAAGCCTGGCAGATCGCCACGAGAAGCGGCCGCGGAAATGGAAAACATGAAGCGGCAGACACAGGGGCGAATTCAAAACTCCGTTTTTTTCGTTTTCTGTTTTTTTTGGGGGGGGGGGGGGGGGAGGGGCGGCCGCCCCCCTCGCCCCCCCCCCCCCCCCCCTTGGATCCGCCCCTGGGCAGACAACGGATGAGAGGAGAGCCACGTGACTGGTGACCCGCTGCGACGAGACGCCGAAACATACTTCTCCCGAGCGAACATGTGTGTTTCGGGTCCTCGCCGCTGCAAAAGCTGTGCGCTGACGTCCAGGTTACCCGAGAAATGGCTCTGATGCTCTATGCTACCAGATCCCCGCGCTCCCAATCTGCGACCGGGCAATATATGGCTCCGTCGTTGAACTGCCAGGCTTTGTGAGTATAGAGGAGACTATGGCTGAAGCATAATGCACGCGCATTATGATAATCCACGCGCATAATGCACGTGCATGCAAGCACTATACTCCGTTTCACCTAATGTTGTACCGCAGAGAAGGCTGGAAGCGCGAGCTCATAGCGTTGGCAGCTGCCCATAATGTCCGAAAGCTTGTGACACCGAGATGTGCCCCAGTGCAAGGAGCTCGCGCCTGTAGCCATTCCTGCGGTACATCATAAGGTGAAATAGAGTATAGAAAGAAATTCCTCCTGCTGTCCCTCGTTACATCTTTCTGTAGTAATGCACTACAGTCAGAGGCAATGTTACAACGTCAGTACAGTCGGAGACAACTTTTCTTGGCAATGAAGCCAAAGCTATGGGTACTCGTGCGCTCGCGCACATTGAGCGCCGATCACAGCTGCGCTCGCGCGGTCTTCACTTAATCGAAAATGTCAGGAAATTTTCTCACCGAGTATAGATCCAAGCAAAAGTCGGTTTACACAGTACTGTTTACACACGTTGCGTCATACTACCGAAGCTTACGTCTGCTTGCGTTGAGAGTCACCATGGCAACCGTGCTTCGAATAAAGCGCGGCAACCAGTTCAAGGAGTACCTGTGCACGCGACATCCGAGGTATTGGTGTTTCGGTGACTTGTAACGTAAGAAGGCGCTCCTGTGCGAATGGGCCTTAAGTTGACAAGCTTCCTAGAATGCCCGGTGCCTTCTTGCGGGGCTTCCGCTGGGTGTTGCTCGCTATGCTATCAGCCTAGGGTGCCTACATGTCTGTTTGTCTGAGGGTGAAGACATCCATTGTTGCCCTGAATGTGCCAGCGCGTGACGCTCTCGCGCACTCGGTGCGTGACTGGGGCGGTAAGATGGCGTCTATGCATTAGCCAAAGCTACGCGCTCGAGCTGAGTGACACCGGATTGCGCGCACTTCGAAATGCATAAAAAAACGATTGGGCGGAAAAATGGCTGAGATGTCACCACTCAAGCAAAAGCGCGCGAGTGTATGAAGGCACTCTATATCAGCCCGCCCTATGAATGGAAGCGGCGGAACACGTGACAAAAGCGTCTCTGGACAACGTGCGCAAAAAGAGCTGCTTTCGAAAACGATCCTTCTCGGCTGCCTGTGCAGGCGTTGCCGGTGGTGGGGCTAGGAACGCTATCCGCCTAAAGCCCCTTCATGTTTCAAAAGTAGCGCAAGGTGCGTCGATGCACGAGACACGTGAAACGTGCAGCCCTTGAGAAGATCATGGTGGCACAGCGCAGCACTGAGCTAGATTTCAGACGCCACGTTCTTCTCAGAAGTAGCGCGTGGCACGTGTTTCGAGCATTTCCACAACAATGAATGGTGCCTCCTTTCCCAGGATAGAGGGGCTTTATATCCGCCCGTATACCTGCTAGAGAGCAGGCAACAGAGAAAAACCGTTTTCGAGCGCCGCTTTTCAATGGAGCTTGACAGCTGATAAATCTAAGAACATTGGCCAGATGTTCAAAAGTGCGTGCGCACGCTCCTCATATCTTCACAAATGTTTACATCTCTAGAATCATTTTATTGAGACGCTTCGCCTCTCATGCCAGAGATCGCGGACCCAGCGTCTTAATAAATTGTTGTTCGAGTGTTTATGTTTTCACTTTAGGTGCCTTCGTTTTCGCTTTGCTTATATGGTGAGGACATTTGGCCATTTTGTTCCGAATGCTTATTTTAATTTTTATTTTGTTCTGAAGCGCGTGAAAGAGCGTGTCCCGCCGGCACGCGCTCTTGGCGCTGACCGTGATGCTAGTGATACGTAAAGTAATACGGTGACATTTTGTTCTCGACGATTTCTTTGTATTTACCCTGTGAGAGCGTGCTGTCGGCATCGGGTACTACAAAGGATGGCATCATCCTAACAGAAGGGCATTGAGGCGTCCTAGTTTTTACTATATCCTCTTGTATCATTTGATTAATTGTTGTAACTCCGAAAGGCACCGGCTTGCGTTCATAACGTTCGCTCCAGCGGGGAAGGAGGATGAACAGTCTGTTCCACCCTCCTTCCCCACTGTCAGTTTAGAAGTGACAGAATAACTCTGCAAATTTGAGCGAAACCAAACAGCCGTCGATGGTGCTTCCAATGCGTGCTTGAGATGCGACCTCACGCGCGCAGCTTCAGCGCCATCGCTGGTTGCAGGCTCGTGCTAGAGACGGGGAGAGTGAAATTCGCTTCAAAGAAAGTGCCTTCTTGTAGAGCTCATAAGAGCATTAACAGTACTTTTTCAGTGTTCTAAGTGTAACCTTAGAGTGCACTGCAGCAAAAACTACAAAGTTTTATAGGTGCTGCAGCCACGCGAGCATTCCTGCAGACGAAGAGCGTTCCAAAGCAAGGATCTCATGCCTTCGTAACAGTTCACATGCGGTGAGACGGAGAATTCACGATTCTAGAACGAACGTATTTCGTTAGTGAACCAGAGAAAGATAACTTTTTGCGCTAGCGCATATCTCCGCAACTTTGTAAAAATGTCCCTCGACATTGGTATTCCTGCAGATTGACAACCTTCCCAACGATCTGCTCGTGTTCACAATTCTGTTTTTCTAGCGGCAGTAAAGGTGGAAACTTCACAATTTGCAGAAAAGCCTGGTTTATTATTTTTGCCATCTTTGCGCCAAGATTCGAAGAGGAGCCCCTGGCTTTGAAGAATTATTCTGACGCACAAGTGCACCCACAAAAGAAGCCGAGAGCTTCCCTGCCAGAGGCTCGAGCTACGAATTCTGACCGTCGGTTCATCGGCTCTAGGGCTTATAGCTGAATGGTTTACGTCCACCGAGCTTTTCATCCTTAGAACTGGTGAATTGCTTGACTCACTTACTACCACTGCCAGTTTCTCAGAGTCGCTGGTCTCGAAGAAAAATCTCATAGGAAGTCCCTCGACCGAAAGCCGACATTTCGCTCGTAAACTTGATTTATGAGCGAAACTTCGGTTTCGATATTGAGGCTACCGTGGCACTTTGGTTTCGATTTCTTTCTGGTTGTTTAGCTACCTTCGTTGCTTCGTTCCAACAAATAGGCAAACGACTCAAGACCACTTGCTAACCTACTTGCCCTACCGCGCAAAACAGCCACCTATTTCTCGCACAGCCTCTAGAGTCTAGACTCACGCTCTTGTTCAGCATGCTGCGGGCGCTTGTCTCGAAATCCAGCAGAGCACCCGACCGTTCCAGCACGTCCCGGTCGCCGTCCAACGTGTCAGTGCACGCGCCCGGGCCGTTGTCCTCCTAGTCGGCACCGCTGCACCGGACGCGGACCCTTTCTGCGTGCCGGTGTGCCGTGGTCCAGGTTCCGTTGCCTTCCCTCACTCAAAAACCCGGATGCGTCGTTCGATGCGCATTGGGCCGAGTCGACCGCATCCGCTCGTGGTTGCATCGGCCCTGGGGACGAGCCACCGCTATTTTGTTCGGCAGCCGCGTCGCGCCCTTCCCGCCAGTGTCCCCACCCTCGACGACGAGGATGCGAGAGCCTGTTTCGCCGCTCTTTTTGACTTTCGGACAACAACAGAGACGGGTCTGTGAAAGCGTGTGCGCTCTCTGAAAAATCCCATTATAATGCGCTCTGCGTGTGTGTATGTGCGTGCTTGTCTGGAAGCTGTACTATGGACAGGCGCGTCTGCTTGCATTCTATTCGCCCGAGGACGGCTTTCCGAGGCAACTACGCTATTTTTTATAGTTTTCAGTTTATTCTTTGTTGTGTTCCCCATTGCGCTGACAGTGAAGCGGAAGCGACGTTCTGGCTGGATCATTCAGAAGCCGTCCTTGAGTCATGTGACAGCGCTCTCACCTTTGTTGATTTCAGGAGGGCGTAGTCACGCGGCACAAGTTCGACGGGTGAGTGATACCCAACCGACAGTTGTCTACCTCACTCTCGGCTATCGTGGGCGACGAGTCGGCGGGAACTGATCTGTGACTGGCTGCCATCAAGGAAATCCTCGCGAGCTGGTGAAGCAAAATGGCGTCTCGAAAAGGTGGCGGTGTGCTTTATACACGGTATGGAGTAGGGTTAGCTGCTGTTTCTAGAACAGGGTCCATTTTGTGCCGTGCACGTCAGCTCTGCACCCCCGCGTCCCCATCTCAGCTCTCTCACCTCCTTCACTTTCTTTCTTTTATTATGCGACAAAGGGAGGTGCGTGCCTATGACACAATCTAATGGGGAATCCCCTTGGCGAATTTGGAGCGGTTCTGGAGCGCTTTTGTTGATATTTTGGGCGTGCAAGCGCACGCTCGCATCTACCGCCCTAAAGGCCCGAATGGAGAGCTTTTGGATTGCTCCCATACTCACCGAGGGAACTCCACATAAATCGCTTCTTATTTTCCATTAGCCAGATTTTTCGTTCAAAATCGGGTGCATACATGGTGAAGGAGTTGATTAAATTCCTTGCAACATTGCAAGACTGAAACGGATGCCTCTGTTAAGTCAAAGTTGATTGGGAAATGTTAGTCCAACTCCAATTGACACCTAATGCCTCTGGCCAGTACAGTATAACAGTACGACTTCTAACATGAGGTCTTTTGCATCCATTACCCAGCAATAGTTAAACAAGAGCACGCCGGTACATTTCGCGTCCATAATCCTCGGGGTTCGTACGAATGCGTTTATTTGCATAAATTTTGTAAGCGATGCGCTCTCATGCTTTTAGAGAACTCCGTTACGTTCGCACGCGCAACAAAATAATGCAAAAAAGATGCGCACCAAACGTGTTTAAATCGGAAAGTTACTAATTAGGTCCTGACTACCTAATTGCGCAGCACTGGTGTCTTATCCTTTCTCATATATATATATATATATATATATATATATATATATATATATATATATATATATATATATATATATATATATATATATATATATATATATATATATATATATATAGGTGATTTCATCTCAACTCAGCCACGGACGGGTATAGGGTCGAATTTTTAATTTTGACGAAAAAATATATGTTTTGGAGCAATTCCTATAATAAAAGAAGACGCAAACGGCAATTTCGTCGGAATGTTTGTTCTCAAGATATGGACCGTTGAAGCGGTCTAGGTGGAAACTGACGTTTTTCCAACTTATCGGAGGCCATATTTCACCCCATTCATTTTCCACACTTTTTACGCTACATCAATATAACTTTTTGAGAACACTCTAGACAAAAGCTTTTTCATGCTAATTAAGCGTCTAGGTCATAACAATCTTAATGATTTTTTTTTATTTGTCAAACCGCATCTCTGCGACGATACATGACGAAGTTCAGCAAGCTGTGCTGTGTGACCTAATCAACATATTTTATGATTGTTATATCCCCGTAAAGCTCCAATTAAGCCCTTTCTTCTGAGTATAATTTAAATATTTTGCGATAAGCATATAATGCGCTACATGTGCCTGAAAAACGAAAATTTCGAAGAACTGGAAAGTTTGGAATGGATTTTCTAAAAAAAAAGAAACACTTTTTACTTCTTTTATTTTTTACTTACAGTTAGTTAATATAGTAGTCTATTAGAAACTACGAACAGAAATTGTAATATATTGTTTGTATGGCCGCTATTAAGACTCGAATTTCGTGCTATGAGCGTTTTGAACGGGACTTCGCACAGGCGCTCTGCAGAGCAGAATTTTGGCGTATGTAAGGTTTTCTATTTATCGTTAGCAGTTACCTCAATATCGAACCATAAACATTAATAAAATTTGGAGTAGTGTACTTGAAAAAAAAATTGCTTCGAAGTCCGTATCCACAAGTGCGGGCACCAGCGCTTACTTCCTCCCAATACGGGGGAATGCAGCCTCGTTAGAAAATTCCTCTGGGGCCTTTTGCTTTCGGCTTTGAGTTTGAAATACCGAACTTGACAAGTAATTGCCATATTTTCTTACGTCAAACAAATATGCAGTGCATATACATATGGAGGATTTAGTATCTGACGCTTATGAAGTACGGTTTATTTTGTGCGCATACGGACTCTTTCGTAAAATAACGAGCATTTCGTAGCGTGTAAGGCTTCCAACGTCTTAGTCATGTGTTTAGGTTTCATTTCTATTTTCAGTGATTCATGCCGGGTTACTAGACTTTTTCCTCTTGACTTGAGTTTGCCCGGGAGTCTAGATGTTACGTACCTTCTCCGTCAATCCATAGGGCGAAGCTCACACACCTTGCAAATCACGCCAGTGTCAAGTAAATAAATATTGTTTGGATAAATATTGTTGCCTCACTGGCTTTTACGCTCAGATATTGAGGTAAGAACTAACATTATAGAGAAAACTTTACATAGGTCAAAATTCTGCTCAGCTGAACGTCCGTGTGAAGTCCCGTTCGAAACTCTCCTCTCACAGCACGAGATTGGAGTCCTAATAGCGGACATACAAACAATATATTACAGTTTCTGTTGGTAGGTCTTGGCAGACTACTATATTACCTAACAGTAAATAAAAAAATAAAAGAAATAAAAGTTTTTTTGTTTTTTTTTAGAAAATCGACTTCAGACTTGCACGTTTTTCTAATGAAAGAGTGCCAAGTTTGAGGTAACTGTTAACGATAAATAGAAAACCTTACATAGGCCCAAATTCTGCTCAGCAGAGCGCCTGTGCGAAGTCCCGTTCAAAACGCTCATAGCACGAGATTTGAGTCTTAATAGCGGCCATACAAACAATATATTACAATTTCTGTTTTTTAGTTTCTGATAGACTACTATATTAACTAACTGTAAATAAAAACCAAAAGAAATAAAAAGTGAGTTTTTTAGAAAATCGACTCCAAACTTGTCAGCTTTTTTCAAAATTTTCGTTTTTCAGGGACATGTAGCGCATTATATACTTATTGCAAAATATTGAGCTTATATTCAAAAGAAAGAGCTTAATTGTAGCTTTACGGTGATATAAGGATCATAAAAATATGTTGGTTAGGTGACGCAGCACAGCTTGCTGAACTTCAGCAAATATCAAATATCGTCGCAGACTGGCGGTTTGACGAATAAAAAAAAATCATCAAGATTGTTAGGACCAAGACGCTTAATTAGCATGAAAAAGCCTATGTCTAGAGTGTTCCAAAAGTTTTATTGATGTGGCGTAAAAAGTAGGGAAAAGGGATGGAGTGAAATATGACACCTCCGATAAGCTGGAAAAACGGCAGTTTCAACCTTGACCGCTTCAACGGTCCATAACTTCATTGCAAAAAATCCGACGAAATTGCCGTTTGCGTCATCTTTTATTATAGGAATTGCCCCAAAACATATATTTGTTTCGTCAAAATTAAAATTTCCACCCTAAATCCGTGGCTGAGTTGAGATGAAATCACCTATATATATATATATATATATATATATATAGGCGTGACGAAGGCCGGACTCCGGCCGAAATGTCGAAGATTAAATCGTCCGTTGTTGCTGTTTTCACTAAGGGTTCTTTTCTTATATATATATATATATATATATATATATATAAATTTCACTAATGGGACAACTTATGCAACGCTCGTGTTCAATATTTATACGCCCTTTAATGGGAGGCGTACACAACTAAATTTTATAATTCGAAATTTCGATTTGCACGGGAGACTTCATTGACCAGTGATGACCATGGCGCATAGCATTTGCGCGTTTTCCCGAAAACCAACTTGGGTATACCATTGCAGCAAAACAATTTCAGGCAATACCAAAAAAAGAAAAGAAAAAAAAAATAAAGAAAAACAGGCGCGTATATTCTTTATTTTCGCATTCACGGCTTATGTGGGTAATGCACTAATACCTCGAGAGATCTTAAATAAATATATGTCGGATCAAGAGTGCTTGTGCCTTTGCGTGTAGCTTATATGAAGAAACGCTTTGTTTTCTTTGATTTCGGAAATTAATAATGAGCCGACGTCAGTGGTGGGGAAGGGGCAGAGGGGTGAACGGCAGGGGAAAAAGTTTGTTTTGCCTGACAGGTTTGCTCGCCTTCCCAAAATAAAGGGATTATCATCGTTTCTGAAACGCCACGAATACAGGATTTTACGCAACCATTTAGGGTACGATCGATTCGTTCGCGGTTAATGTGACCTTAATGCCGCGCATGCCCACTCTTCACTGATGCCACTTTGAATTGCGCAACTACGCCGTCTGGCCGACGGCAGTTGCTGCACAGCTATACTCCGTTCCCCCTTAAA